GCATGTTGGACCTTCTGCAATGTACTTTCCAGACCCCGGTCTACTTCCTGTTCTTGTTTTCATAAGACTGCTGTATATGCATTAAACAGAGAAGTTTGGTCTTTGTGCACGTCTTCATAACGGCATTTTCAACAAAGTCACACAGAAACAGAACACACATTAGAGGACTTCTGTCCGTGCAACATGGCACATAAGTGATTTATGGTATTGGAACTTCCCCAGCTTTGCAGCCTGGTTGTGTGTTTTCTGAACTTCAACACCAACATGTTTATTGCCACACAGAGGACTGCCAGTGATGTGAACAGCACATCCTCTGAGAAGCAGATTTTATCCCAGGATGTTTGTGTAAGCAGCCACATTAAAGACACACACGAAATAACTGAGATTTAATGCAGAACTTGAGAATTTTTCAAAACTATCCAACTCGGTGTTTGTCCAATGGAAGACCTTGAGCGAGGTCAAGCGACTCCACTCCGCTCACGTCACAGGTGTCGGTTTCCCACCATCAGACTCACCACAGGCGTATCTACGATTAGTCTGCATGTGATTATACAACCAGAAACTTTCTTTGCACGTGAACGTCTATAAATAAGAGGGGAACGAGGTGACGGACAGTTTGAGTCCCCGAGCTGAAGGTTCAGGATGGACAGAAGCTGCTGGAGACAGATCCTGGTTCTGCTGCTCTTTGTCAGCACGTATGCAGAAGGTAAAGACTGTTTTTATTTAGTGCTTAATTAATGCATGTTTAGTGTTAAGTTAATATAGTGAGACAGTCTGTCTGTGGGGAAGATCTCTTTTTGTTATATGTTGATTATGTTGCAGTATGACATCAGCTTTATACAGTATTATGTCCTCAGTAAAATGACCCCCAAGTTGTTTTCCGGTCAGATGTTCCTTTAACTCAAGGAGCCTTCCAGTTCATTTGAGTTCTTTTACCTATTTTTCAGTTGCCTTACCATCTACAGTGGAAAATAAATCACATTTAAACACTTCAATAGAGATCTACCTCCACATTATTTACCTCCTTTAATCACGTTGTAACAGCCATGATGTGTTTAAGATTAGGATTAAGATTAAGATTTACTTTTTATTGAGCCCCGCAAGGGGAAATTTCAGTTTTTACACTCTGTAAATCATGAACACACACATAGGCTGAAATATAAACACACAGGCAGAAACAGGATCCTATAGACATGCACTAATGGAGGAAAGCCAGGTGACGGAGCGGCCCTCAGCAGGCGCTCCTGAGCTGGTGGTGGGGAGGGGGTTTGGTGCCTTGCTCAAGGGCACCTCGGCAGTGCTCAGGAGGTGATCTGGCACCTCTCCAGCTACCAGACCAACTTCCATATTTGGTCTGCACTGGGACTTGATCCGGCGACCCCTTCGGTTCCCAACCCAAGTCCCTACAGACTGAGCTACTGTATCCTCCTCCCACAGCAGTTCTCTTAAACTTGCATTTACTCTTCTATACATTTTAGTGTTTCTAAGTATACAGGTGAAATACTAGGTACTTTCATTGCATGCATTACAGGAAAGCATTTCAACAGTCACACACTATTGACCTGCTAAACGTTCCTCTGACGCTCTGACCACCAACACTGTGTCTGGTGTCTCCTTTGTCATATCTGTCATTTTCATTTCACTATGTTTACGCAGCCTCGAAAAAAAATACCATCATCCTCTGTTGATTATTTGTTATGTTTAGCTCCTTATATGGCTTTGATATAATTTCTGGTAATTTGCACATGAGCGTGGTTTTACCCAGCAGCAACCTCCATTGTTGTAAAATGAAGCACAAGTGTAAAATCCTGCAGTTCCAGGAGTGTCCACGAGAGGCTGGCTGCAGAAGCACAGGAAGTCACATACACACCCATTCTAAAAAGTCTGTTTTTACAGCAGAGATGAACATGTTTACAGCCTGGTTCAAAAAACCAAATAGGTGTGATTAGCTCATGTCTGGATGGACACACACTGTACGGGGGGTGAATGTTTTGATGACTCATCAGTTTTGATTTGATGAAGGATAAGAGTTATTCACAATAAGGCGTGTAGCTGACCTGATTGACAGGTGGGCGCGGTGTAACGGTTTGTCAGGAGGTTTAAAACCCGCCTCAGCTCCAGCTCTCAGCCTGTCGTTAGGTTGACTGAAAGTTAGACTGAGACAGCATTTCCAGCATGGAGACCGCCATCGATGGGACTCCAGCGCCCCCTGCAGGAACAGATGGGGGACATCAACCGCTTTGGCCATTAATGGGGGTTTTAATTTTATTTTACCTGTTGTAATAAAGTTTAACTGACTGATTGATTTATTATGCAGAGCTGTAGAGATGTATTAATCTAAAGGATTTTCTGTTTTCTCTGCAGCTTCATTTTCCCGTCACATGGAGGACTTCATCACGGCGGTGAAGCAGGTGGAGGACGGGATCCCTGGATCAGAACCGGTGTCTGTTCTGAAGAGTCTGCGGCGCGCGGCCGGCCTTAACGACGCTTTCATTCAGCACTTCCTGGGTGATGCAGGCTCTGGTGTCCCGGAGGTGAACCCTGACCTCTCTGCGTCCATCAGCCGGGCCGTGCGGCACAGAGTGACTGAGGACGCTGCAGAGGAGGGCGTGGTCCTGACCCCTGATGGCACCACCGTCGCCCTCACACCGCTCCTCCTGGGGTTGGAAGCCGGTTTCATGTCTACGTCTAACGGGTCGGTTCGGGGGCTGGTTCAGCTCACTCTGGCTAAAGATCTGAACCTGTCGTTCAGAATCAGATCTCGTCAGAAGCAGCTCCTGGGACCCGACGGCTGCTGGGACAACATCACCTCCCCTGAAGTCTTCACCCTGCGGGACCGCCCCGCTCTGCTCACCACCGCTCAGATTAACGGAGGCATGGACGGCGTGGTGTTAGGGATGGCGCTCTCCGACAGATTTAGACGTCCCGTGAAGCTGAGCGACCTGCTGACCGAGTACTACTGCCACCTGCTGGAGACAGGAGGCGGCATGGACGTGGCCCCGCGTCTCGTCGGCCGGCGGCGCAGGGAAAACTTCAGAGAGCTGGTGGAGGTCTCTGCGCTGAGCCGGCAGGTGGTGAGAGCGGTGGAGCAGCAGAGGAGAGTGCTGGGGCGATCGAAGATGGAGGTGAGGGAGAAGAAGCAGCTGCAGGCGGCGGTGAGAGAGGGAATGAGAGAGTTTGTCCAGAAGTACATCGGTGAGAAAAGAGTTCAAACCAACAACAAAGAAGTATATCGTCTTTTTAAAACATGAATGTTAATCCCTTTAATTAATCTGTTTTCAGTTTGCCCTCCCATCATCCCTCGCTGCATGTGGGGGGCGAGGCCGTACAGAGGAACCCCCACCAACCTGTCTCTCCCACTCTCCTTCATGTTCATCCACCACACCTCCACTCCTGGACGGCCCTGTCTCACCTTCCAGAAGTGCTCCGAGGACATGCGCTCCATGCAGCGTTTCCACCAGGACGACCGAGGCTGGGACGACATCGGCTACAGGTAACGACAGAAGAACAGCTTCAGGACCTCTCACACATCAATCTAGAGATCCATCAAACCCTGATATCCATTCACTTAAAAGTTGTTGAAATTTCATGATTTAGTTGATTACAGTTTTCTGCAAATGATGTTTAAAGCTAAATCAGAAAACATTGCCAAAAAAAACATCCAAAACAGATTTTGATTTTGTTATAATTTAAAAAGGAACAGAGATCTTTAATGAACTGAGATTCAGAACCAAATTGAGGGAACGTTGTTTTACTGTGAAAGGAATCGGTTTCTGGAACAATCTCAACAGAGAAACTAAAGAATCAAAATCAAACATGATATTTAAAAGACAAATTAAAGCCAGTTTGTTGAAGAAATATGTCAATGAGATGCTGTAACATCGCCCGGCCGTCCTGGCGATGTAAACAAAGTGAAGATAGGACTCTGAAAACTCTGAAAACATCACAGACAGTGGGACTCGGGTGTTACACCCATTGTAGACAGTCATGACTCACAGAGTTATTTTCAGAGGAGATACTTGATTTCTACATTTAAGTGTGAAAAATCACATTTAAAGACTTTAAAGAGGATCTACGATGGGGCTGCCAGTGGCTGTGGTTGCCTGCAGACAATTTATTTTAATTTTAATTGTTTTTGAATGAAGTGCTCTGTTTTGTTTTAATTAATGTTTTGTGAAAGAGGAGCAGATGTTATAAGTATTCTTCTTTCTGCTCCTTTTCATTCAAAATTTGAGATTTTATGTTTGTTTGAATGAAATTAAATTTACAAATAAATAAATAAAATCAATCAATCAATCTTTTTTAACTCATATAATCCCAATAGGAGCCAATGCAGAAAAGCTAGTAAGGGAGAAATATGACCTTTGACTTTCAACATGCTGCAGCTTTTCTGACTCACAGTGTCAAATCTCTCTCTGTGCTCCTGAAGCTTCGTCGCAGGCTCTGACGGGTTCCTCTACGAGGGCCGGGGCTGGACCTGGCAGGGGGCCCACACCCTCGGGCACAACTCCGTCGGCTACGGTGTGTCCTTCATCGGAGACTACACCTCCAGCCTGCCGTCGCAGCACTCCATGGGGCTGGTGCGAAATCAGCTGGCGTCCTGTGCCGTCGACGGGGGGCGGCTGAAAGCCAACTTCACCCTGCAGGGACACAGACAGGTGGTGAACACTTCCTGTCCCGGAGACGCTCTTTATGAAGAGATCAGAGGCTGGGAACACTTCGGGGTGCGTACACAGGAGAGACACACAACATGATCACATGACATAAAACACTTATCACACTACTTTTAATTTGATCTTTAATTATTTTTTCAGGAGGTGAAGAAATAACGATGATCTGCCGGTCAAGAAGAGGAACTATGGATAAACCAAAACTTATAAATAAACGTTTGTCTCTATCTTTTGCTCTGATGGTTTTCTTGGACCTTGTGTGTGAGACGAATGAGAGCTTATACTTCTATTACACCAAACTACCGTACTTTAAACGACACAAAATGTATTTTACAGCTGCTGTTATTGGTTCAAATTGTAACATTTATCAAGAGTTTATTTTCACATCGAGGGGTGGGGCCCCTTAAAAAAACTTGTAAGCGCTTAAACATCTACACATTCACACACTGACGTCAGATGTTGCTATGTGAAGTGTCCATCATTAACTCATCCATTCATACACCACCGACGAAGCAGCAGGAGCAACTTGGAGTTTAGTCAGGAGCTGGGGATCGAAGCCTCGACCTCCCAATTGAGAGAGGCCGACTCTACCCACTAAGCCGCTGCCCCGTTGAGTCTCCTGCCTCATGTGATCTTTGAGTGTTACGTGCTGCAGAACAGGAACCTGCTTTAAGTCAGGCCCGTTTAAACTTTTTATCTTTTCCTTTTTAACACATTTAAATGCTTTACTTGCATCCAGAAAACATTAACTTTTTTCAATAAATAATTAGCATGTCTGGACGCTTCTACATCTGTAATTCATTGCTTTTGGGAATTTAATTGGAGTAATATGTTTTACACAGTAGTTTTCTCTTCCTTTATCAGAGGTGGGGAAAGTGTCCTGAATGGTATAAACACAGTTCCATGTCTCGCCGCTAGAGGGCGCCAGATGAACACATAATGTGATTATTAACGTGCAGCGTTTTGCATTCTTTTTACTCCTAATTATCGATTAATTAGCACGAATGTCCTGATTTTATCCCGAGTGATAAATGTGTGACATCTTTAATAAAGACGTTTTTTTAAATAGGTCACGTGTGGGGGTTAAAGGGTGCTGCAGAATTAAACTACTTACGCAATAAGTGACAGTTTTATATATTTTTGTTTACAATCAATAAATGTGTCACACTATGAGACGATGTCATTGTGATGAAGTCATTCTGTTCAGTTTCGTAGTAAGAGAAAAGTGTCATCGTGATTAAAACGCGTCAGAACACAAATACTGTCACGTAAATCCACGCAGCGTCACGGAAACGGGAATAAAATCAAAGCAGTGGTAAAAGTTATGAACTTATCCCCGGTTGCTCTCCGGTGTTTTTACTCGAAACTCTTCTCCTCGCCCTCCCCGCTGACGTTACGCACGCAGAGCCGTGGCGTGCCTGCAAGCCAAATAACATGGAGTCCTCTGTCTGGCATCTTCCAGGGATCCATGCAAAAAACCTGAGCAGCGGTTAGGAGAGCAACTTTGTCCCCGGGAGCTGCGGGAGCCTCCGGAGGGCGTCGTGTCGGGGGCGTAAGAAGCTTCAGCTCCTTCCACAAACTATGACGAAGGGCGCTTAAAACAGCCTGCTGCCACTGCGACCCGCAAAACCAAAACCAGGCCGATCTCTGTGAGTATTTGCACTTCACAAAAAAAAAAGCTGCAGTTTCTGGGCGTTTTGGGTTCAAAATGCACCGAGCGTGGATGCATTGTTGTTGCAGTCACCTGACAGACAGACAGAGAGACAGACAACGGATCGATGTGAGCCTCAGACTCAGAGCCCGAGGGGACACCTACCTGGATGTTCCCGGGGAATTTTGCTGCTTTTTTCATCAGAGGGGCAGCAGGAGAGGACATGGGCCTGAATATAAAGGCCACTTATTTATGTAACCATGTGTGCGCTCTGTTTCATTCTTTAAGAGCAGAAATAGGTCAGACAGGCTGAAAACTACAGCTGGAAAAGATACCTAGGACAGCCAGAGCACGGCAGATTCTGCAGATTTGACACTTTTGTAATGCTGATATGCTTTTCTAATCTTCTCTAAAATATCTGGCATGCAGGTTTCACAGTTACTAATCCTTGAGTTAGCTCGGGGGGATGATTTTTTAAAACTTTAAAAGGCGTTACAAAACTTTGTTTTTGTTTTGTTTTGTTGGTGTTTCTTGGTTGCAGAAGAAGAGGAGACAGCACAATGTAGGCCCGGCTGGTCATCAGTGGGACTCCATACTGATCTCTGGGGGGGGACCATGGAGCCAGGAGGGCGACCCCACACCCCAGGGACCAGCTATGGGCTCCCAGCCTCGGACTCAGCACAAGACCCTGACACCTTTCTCAGCTGCACTTTACAAGTAAGAAAACAAAAAGGAAGCACGTCATTCAGTTACATTAATTTTTTTTGTATAGGCTCAAAGAAGCACTAAAGTTATCGTGTGATAGAGCTGGTCTAGACAGAATAATTTGTAATATGGGACGATGGTGGAGGCTGGGCGTCGGGCGGTGGTTGAGGGACGACACAGTGCATGAATGAGAAACCGACCCGACCATGAAGGCATATTTAAAGTCTTCCTGACGCTAGAGCTTCATATAATACAGGCTTATAGCAGCTACAGGCCTAAAGTAGTGACAATAGAAAGATACAAAAATAAAAGCAGGGACACTTAGCAACGTGGACCATGCTGCAAATCGACCCCTCGATTCATGTCAACAAGTAAGCAGCGAGACAGTGCGGAGGCAAAATGTAGGAGAATTGTTGCTCACAGTTAGCCTATAGCAGCATAACGAGGGCCCGGTCTAAGCCTAAATCAGTTGTTTTAAATTAAACCAAAGTATGAGAGTAAAGAGGCTATTCATTCTTAAAGAAGAAAGGTAGTCCCCCTCTACTACACCTCAGACCCTGAATGAAGATAGCACAGAGGAAAGGGGGGTTTTCTTTGAAGGGCCCACCTCCCATACTACTTTGAGAGACTTTTCAAACCAAAAGCAAGCCCTCGCTTTGTCTTGATAAATACTCATTCCCGTCCACTTCTAATCTGTTTTCTCTTAGTCCTCACGCTCTCCAGACGTGAGCGATGGCCCAACGTCCGCCAAGCGTTCATGGGCCCCGTCTGGAGACGAGGGCCCCGAGCAGACCGAGAGCTTAGACCCAGGGAGGAGCGCACAGAGGAGATTCAGGTCCTCAGCCTTTCCCTCCTCCCTCAGCTGGGACTCTGACTCTGAGAAGGAAACACTTGATGGTAACACAATGCATTTTCAAACCTGTTGCACATTTCTAAAGAGACGCAGCGTAGTGTTGTCTCCTTTTTGTCTGCATGGAGTCAGAAGTCTCTCTCCTCTCTCTCTCTCTTTCTTTATGTAGTACCTGAGTATGCACTGTATTTTTCACTGTAACCTTTAAGCTGTGAAGTGATGTGTTGCTGTGGTTGTGTGTTTTGCGTGCTGCTCTGTGTCAGAGGAGGAGCTACAGCACTTTTCTAACCCTCATGGTCTAGCTGCTCACAGCCCTGGATCTCCTTCTTCTGGACTCAGGTGAGGAGGAGGAGGAGGAGGAGGAGGAGGAGGAAGGTGTTTGGGGCGGTCATTTGCAGGGTAGTTCAGGAAGGAGCCCAAAAAACAGAAATTTTTTTGTGAAGTAATGTTGACTAATATTAAATATATCCAGGGCCGTAACCAGGAATTTAGAGAAACTGAGGTCTCCTTTTGACCCCCCACCCACCTTTGAAAATAACTTTAGTCTTTCTATGTGATTTTTCACTCTTAAATGTAGAAATCAAGTATCTCCTCTGAAAATAACTCTGTGAGTCATGACTGTCTACAATGGGTGTAACACCCGAGTCCCACTGTCTGTGATGTTTTCAGAGTTTTCAGAGTCCTATCTTCAGTTTGTTTACATCGCCAGGACGGCCGGCTGACTCCTCCCCTCGTGTATAAAAGTTGTTTAATTGAGGGACTAGAGAAAAGAAGAATAACATACTGTACTCACTGCTTAACTGTGTTTCTAGATCACGCTCATTTCAGGTAAATTTACATGCAGTGTGAAGATACCAGCATAATAAAGATCACTAGCATTAGCATGCTAACACAACAATGCAGCGCAAGTTGTTTTGGTTTCATGCTGGTGCTCAAGGGCGACATCTGCTGGATCCAAAATCACATATTAAGCCTTTAAAGAAAGTAACAATTTAATGTTTCATAGTCAGAGAAATGTTATCTTTTCACTGATTCCGCTCTCGTGTCTGTATGCAACACATGAAGCATCAAACACCAGCTAATTAGCGTAGCATAGCATAAATTCTAGCCCTGTCAGCGTTACCACGTTAAATCGCAATGTGGTTAAGGTCTAAGATTTATGCCGTAATTATTATTTTTATTCCCATTAATGTCATGCCAGTTTGTCCCTCTTGGAGCACCGTAGTTAAACCATCAAAGAATCTTAAGACTGAAATTTTCCAGCAGCCAGAATGATGGAAATAAACGACACTGCTGCGTCTTTGAACGCATCATTTCACTTTCAAAAATCTCACAGACGGCTCAGCTAACAAGTCAAAAGTTTTAACCGTTCCCTTTAGCCGTTCGCTCAAACTTTTCCATCTGTAGCGAGCTCCTTTTTTCCACGGTTCAGTTAATGTCGTAACTTAGGATCTACTGTAACTTCCTTATTTTCAAAATAAAAGCGTGTTTTTTTAATCCAAACATGAAGTTTTTAATGTTTACAGAAAGTCAGTGTTTAATGTCTTCCTCTCTCATGGTGTCCAGACTTGATAGTGAAGAGGACCAAGAATCTGATAAATGGCCGCTCTTGCACAGCGAGGCCGACTCCCCCGCTCCCGTGGAGGGGCACAATAACACCAAGAACAACAACAACAACGACGACGAGAGCACAAAGACAGACGAGCCAAATACATCTCAGCGCTGCCAAACAGAATGTAAGAACCATACGGAGGAAACAGAACCTGCGAGTGCACTCGATATCTTCTGGTTTATTTTTAGGCTCCTTTTCATTGATCCTCTCATTCTGCCGTTTTTTCTCTCCTCAGTGTCAGACGGCAAAGTCTGGAATGTATCAGAGGGAGCCGAGCTGTTTGTGTCCAAAGTGAAACCAAAGGAAGGATGCCAAACAGACGAAGAGGAGGCAGACAATGGAGAGGACGAGAGAAGGCCCAAGGGAGCAGGAAGCAAGGAGCCTGAGAGGGATGTGTACAGCTTCCCCGGAGACTCAGACCCCGAGAGTCCCCCTCCTGCACCCTGGGCTCATTGCACATTCATCCAGCGGTGCAGGAAGAAGAGGGTGCTGCTCAGGCCTTTCTCCGGACTCGGCACCTTGAGACGCACTTCACCTGCGAGCGGCGGGCGGGCGAGAGCGAGCCCTCAGAAACTGAAGCCTGCTGATTCGGCTCAGCAGGACGGAGCCGGAGGGGTTTACGATTTTGAGGATTTTGAAACGGTGGAGAAACCGATTAAATTCAGAGACCGAGAAGAAGAAGAAGAAGAAGAAAGCGGGGGAGTGCAGAGTACAGAAATCTTCACCTGTGTTGAATGTAGCATTTACTTCAAAAAGCAGAAGCACCTGCAGGAGCACATGGTGGAGCACTGTCAGAGCGAGGAGGGCGGGGGGAGGGGCGAGGGTCAAAATGGCCGTTTCCAGTGCGTGGAGTGTGGATGGAGTCTGTTGAACCACCTCGAGCTGGCAGACCACCACAGGCGGCACCAAGAGTCCCGTCTGAAGATCCTGGAGGAGATCGAGAAGCTGAATGAAAACGGACCGCTGGAGAGATGCAGAACTTCATGAAGCGTTTGAGTTCAGACTCAGATGTGACGCAAGATGCAGGAGCGGCCTTGATTCCAGGCGAAATGTCAGACCCAAAAATAGTCACATCTCCACCTCTTTCCCCACTTTCTGCATCTGAAGCCGCTCTCCTCTCTGACACAACTCCTCCAAATTCAGCTCGAGCTCCGGCGCAGGCCCGTCGCCGCTTCGTCTGCGCCACGTGTGACTTCAGCACGAGAACCCCGCAGGCGCTCGCTAACCACACCAAAACTCACAACAGAAAAAAAGCTGTTCCCAAGACCGCCCCCCTTTCCCCCGCTTCATCGTCATGCACTCTGTCCTGTGGTCTCTGTTCCTTTCAGGCCTTGACTCAAACTCTGATGAGGGAACACCACAAACTGGTTCATCAGGAACACATCAGGGCGCCGCAGGCGGGAGAAACCGGGCGACGCTCGAGGTCTAAAGTCGGCGCTCGGGTTTTAAAACACAGCTTGGACTCGGACCGTCTCTCAGAAGTCAGCGACTCTGAGGACTGCACGATCACAGACATCACTGAGCCGCCGCCTGCGAGTCAGGTGGCCTTCAGATGTGTGAGGAACAGGAGGTTCAGCCGGAGGGGGGAGACCTGGACCAGTCTGGTCAAGTTTCATCCAAGAGGCTCTGATGAGGAGGATGATGATGAGTTTCCAGGGAGTGAAAGAGAAGAAGAAGAAGAAGAGGAGGAGCAGCAGGACGGAGATCAGAGCAAAGAGATCGATGCAGAAGAAGAGAACTCACCTGTGGAGGAGAAACCGCACAACAGAGCACGATCCAACACAGGTGAGACTCACCAGGTGACCCTGACAGTATTTGTACACAGCAGCAAAGACGCTGAAAACGGGCAAGGCAAGTTTATTTCTGTCGCACATTTCAACAACATGGCAATTCAAAGTGCTTCACACAAGACATCAAAAGCATCATGACAGAGGAAAGAAAAGAAACATTAAAATAGAAAATTTAAAAATCATAAAAATTATTAAATCTGAAAATATGTTCAAATAAAAATAATTCAAATGAAATTAAAAAAAGTAATTCAAATGAAATTAATAAAAATAATTCAAATGACATTAATAAAAAATAATTCTAATGAAATTAATAAAAATAATTCAAATGAAATTAATTAAAAATAATTCTAATGAAATTAATAAAAAATAATTCTAATTAAATAAAAAAAAATAATTCAAATGAAATTAATTGAAATAAATAAAGTAAAAAGAGTAAAAAGTTACAGTGCAGAGTTAAAGTTTAAAATCTATGTGAAGTCTGTCAAATCTTTGGCCACAGAAATCTCTCAAATCATCGCTCCAATCAGGTGTCTTCATTTGAGAGAGAGAGAGAGAGAGAGAGAGAGAGAGAGAGAGAGAGAGAGAGAGAGAGAGAGAGAGAGAGAGAGAGAGAGAGAGAGAGAGAGAGAGAGAGAGAGAGAGAGAGAGAGAGAGAGAGAGAGAGAGAGAGAGAGAGAGAGAGAGAGAGAGAGAGAGAGAGAGAGAGAGAGAGAGAGAGAGAGAGAGAGAGAGTGTACATCTTTAGAGTTCCTTTAAATTTAAATGACTTCAAATATTTCTTTCTTAATTTTTTTACTTTGCTCATGATTTTACGACGTCCTTGTTTTATGTTTTATTTTATGAGAGGGTGCTGCATCCTCTAAAATCAGGCACAATAAAAATGTTTGAACCGATTTATTTATCACTTTTTGTGGGATTTGTAGTCCATGTGATCGGGTGGCTGTGGCTCAGCTGGTAGTGTCGGTCGTTTCTCAACAGGAAGGTCGGGGGTTCGATCCCCAGCTCCTGAAACCACATGTCCCATGTGTCCTTGGGCAAGGCACTTAACCCCAGATCCTGATGTTGTAACTTCAAAATAAGGGGTCCTATTAAAGACTTTTCTTTGGTTTATGCAATACTCTTCTTTAGAGCTTCTTAAAGGAACAGAACCTCTCAGTCCAAGCTGAAGCTGCAAATTATTAAAGATAGATAGATAGATAGATAGATAGATAGATAGATAGATACTTTATTGATGCCGAGGGAAATTCAAAGCATCCAGTAGCAGGTTACAAAGACATGACATGAAACATTTGTTACAAATTAACCTCAAAACAGAGCAGATAGTGCAAATTGATCAAGTAACAGGCAGTGCAAACATTAAAGGTGCGATTTAAATTTAAATAATTGTGAGGTAGCATTAAAGTGTCTAACTAGAGGCTGACTCTTGGGACGGCTGTGCAGATGGGAAATGGAAAAAGGAAGATTTAGTCCAAGAGTCTCTCTGTGCAAGAGTCTGTTGTACAGACGTTTGGCCAGGGGGAAAAAGAGTTGTTGAGTCAGGTATGAGTGCTGCTTCAGTTCTCTGACTTCTCTGTCTCTTCAGATGAAAGTCCAGCAGAGCAGAGCGCTCCACTCTCGCTCCCTCCTGAGCGCAGTGTGAAGGACGAGGACGAGCTGGAAGTGAAGAAAGACGGAAAGGTTTTCTTTCTGAGGAGGAGAAACCGCGCTCCTCATGCCGCCGCTCCCGTAGAGATCGACAGCGACGACGACGAGTACGACATTGATGAGGACAACGTGCGGCGTTTCCTGTCAGAGGCCGTCTTGGATGAAGACAACGAGGAGACGGACGAGGACGCCGAGGCGATGAAGAGCGTGGAGAGGAAGTGCCCCTACTGCCCCGATCGATTTCACAACGGCATCGGGCTCGCCAATCACGTCAGGGGACACCTGAACAGGGTGGGCGTCAGCTACAACGTGCGTCACTTCATTTCCCCCGAGGAGGTCAACGCCATCGAGAAGAAGTTCTCCTATCAGAAGAAGAAGAAGAAAGGTCAGCGCTTGTTGAATTCATTTCTTTAGAGCTGAGGGGATGAAGAGAAGATCACTTTTTTTATTGTTCTATGACCCTGACATGTGCTTCAGTTCAACCACCACTGTGAGTTCAGATTTCCCTTTAGCCCAGATGATGTCATCAGCTTTTAGAAGTCTTTAAAGGTTAAAGGTCACACATTATTTTAAAATATTTTAAAAACACTATGTGTCCTTAGTCTGTCTACAAACCCCCCAATGATGAGAAAAGTCCATCCTCTCCATCTTCTGCCTGCTCCACTTTTCAGAAAATGTGTGCTCAAACAGGCCGTTTGGAGATTCTCCCTTCATGACATCACAAAGGGCAGTAGCCCCTCCCCCAAGGTGGGTGACACTCCCACAGCTAGGTGTTTGTTCTGCCCTCTGAGTCTGCCTTCTCACCGTAAACAATAGGACATGGAGCGAGAAAGACCGAGTACACCCAAGTCCTTCCAGATAGGGGGCGTGGTCAGACACAGCTCATTTACATATTTAAAGGTACAGACATAGAAACAGCCTGTTCTGGGCAGGGCTGAAATAGAGGGGTTTATAGACATGATCAAATACAGGATCAGAGTGGATTAAACACTCTGCCTCAGATTTATACAGATGTGTAATATCCCACTGCACTTGAACATAACATCGTGATGTCCCCGTCTTCTCCACAGTAGCTAACTTTGACCCGGACACGTTCAGCGTCATGCACTGCGAGTTCTGCAGCGCCGGCTTCGACACCCGGGCCGGCCTGTCCAGCCACGCCCGAGCCCACCTCCGCGACTTCGGCATCACCAACTGGGACGTCACCATCTCGCCAATCCACATCCTGCGGGAGCTGTTCTCCAGCAGGCCCGACCTCGTCCTCCCCACCGCCCCCCCGAAGGAGGAGTTTGAGGACGAGGATGAGGACGAGGATGAGGTCGAGGATGAGGTCGAGTACGAGGATGAGGACGAGGAGAAGGAGACGCAGGAGGAAGGGGAGGGAATCGTCGAGGTAAAACTGGAGGGGGAGACGAGTGAAAGGACGCTGAGTGCCGCCGACCCCGATGCTCTTTCTTCAACATTGCCTCAACGCTGCAAGGAGGAGGACGCCGACGGAGAAAGTGAAGGTAAGTCTTAGTCATTGAAGTCTTCATGACCGTTTTGATGCTGCTCATTGGTTGTTTGGTTGTTTTGGAGGTTCCTGCATGTGATAGAGAACGCGTAATTATGTGCACTACTTTTCGATCCCACATGTTCTCATTCAGTATAACCTGCATTGTTTTGATTAGCAGCGGTGTCTATGTGTCCCTGGTCAACACATTTAAAGGGATACCTCACCCGTTGAAACATGAGTCTGTGTTGACATTGGTCATATATGTAGAAATGTGAAATACATTTTGAAGTTGGAGCCTTCTTGGCCGTGAAAAGGCAGAAAGTGTCTTTTTGGCTCATGTGGATGAAAGACACCAAATCCCAGAATGCACAGCACTGCAGGCCACTCCCACTAAGGTCCTCTTTTTCAGAATCAGAATCAGAAATATTTTATTAATGGCTTCCAAGCAATATGGCGGACGTTAAAGTTTTGATTCTGGGAGTGAGTTCCCGCCCACTGATCTGTGATTGGTCTGTAGCTTCAGTGGTCGAAAATATGAGGAACTAGCGTTGAAGTTTCACCCCGCTAACACAACAGCTTCCAGTGACGCAAAAATCGTAATTTTGCGTCACTGGAAGCTCCTTCAGACTCAGAAATACAAAGATTTCCCATCTCAGGGGAAAATGAGGGCGACCAGTGAAAAATACTACCAGGTTTCTAATGATACAAAGATTAATGCAAATGGGTGAAGTATCCCTTTAACCCCAAGTTGCTCCCGCTGCTTCATCAGCGGTGTGTGAATGTGTAACAATGGATGGAGGAACATCCAGGAGCAGCTGGGTAGAGAGGTAGTTTGGGCTTTTTCTGCCTTTATTGGAGAGACAGGACGGTGGTAGAGTCGGACGTTTGTGACAGAGAGAAGGGGGGATGACATGCGGGTCACAGGTTAGATTTGAACCCGGGTGACCCCTTCGAGGACTACAGGCACTGTACATGGGGAGAGCGTCCAACCACCAGGCCAACAGCGACACCTGATGATGATTTTAACCTTGAATTTGTTTTCTTTGGAAGGGCATGTCACCACCTTGTTAGGGGCTGAATCCATCAATAACTACAGTCAAACTCCTGAACACACACTCACAGCTGCTTTGCACACATTGGTGACATTTTGCTCCACATAGCGTTGCCAAAGTGTTTGTGCAATTCAGACATTTTGCAGAAGATTGCCTGATATTTTTTGTGAATTAAAAACAAGAAAAGACCCGATATCGGCCGCCTCAGACTTCTGTCCTGACTGCACCTCTTGGGGGGGGGTCCCCGATCCCCACTTTGAGAACCAGTGATGTGCGGTATCTTCAAAGAAATAAAAAAGCTTTAAAATATTCACATCTTTGAATCATGTTGGAAACTAAAAGCTGCCTTTAGGAGAGACACATTGCCAAAGTTATTGTGAAATTGAGACCGTGTGCAGGAGTAAACAAAATCAAGAAGTTACTCAATATGAGGTGCCAAAAGGTTTTGGTGCTGTGGTGTGGAAACAGAAGCTTATAGAAGTGTTAAAATCTGGTGCCATGATGAAACCTCTCACACAGAGTATTAACCACCTGGATGGATGTAAGAAGACGATGAAAATGCATGAAGAAGTTTGAAATGTAAGCTGAGAGAAGCTGGCACTGTGGTGTAAGGGCATTTATCAGATTGCTTTTTGTGCTGTGTGTGTTTGAATCAGGATGGTGTGTGTTTTAGTAAAGCAGCCCTAACAGAGAGGGGGAGAGAGAGTGTGTGTGAGTGTGTGTGTGTGTGTGTGTATGTAAGTGAGAGAGAAAGAGACAGAGTCCCTCATGCCCATGGTAGATGTGGCACTCGGTGCATTTATCCCAAACCTCCGCCTCCACTCGATTGGTCACGCCTTAGCTTAGCGGTGCATATGGGGGCAAAATGGCTGCTTCCACCTCCCCGTAGACCCAAACAATAGCGGAGAAAAAAAAACTGTCTGGCCTCAGCTGCCGGGGGGGGAGTCCGGATCAGGTCCGGATCAGGTCCGGATGCACTGCGGTTGCGGACCGGTGAGTACCGCGCGCTGTAATTCCTGAGCACCCGCGTGCCCTCAGATCACACGTCTCGCGCTGCATCTTCTTCTTCCTCATTGTAGCCATTAAAAAAAAAAAAAAAAACCCTCTTAAATATGTGAGAGGAGAATGAATGCAGGTAGAACCATGTCACGCGTGTCAAAAGCTCGTAAAGCAGGTCACTGGATGTGTTTCCGTGTGGCGCGCACGGATCGATAGTAGTGATTAATGATAGTTTGTGTTTTCATTATGAATGCCTGCCAGGTTTTTCATTGTGCATGCCGGGGGATGACGTCCAGTGTTTCCAGTGCTGCAGGATCTCTACAAAATTTACCTACAGTTGCCCAATCCTCGCCATTTTACTTTTGCTTTGATTTTTGATAGAGGACACGCTGTGCTTTCAAGTGCTCGCCTTTTCGGCTTGTTTCCACTCTAAACTAAACAGCTGGATCCTCCCTGGACACACACAGCTAACTTTGTAGACATGTGAAAGCAGTGGTAGTCGGTGATCTTATTACAACTTACAACCAAGTAATCGAAGTATCACTTTTTACTCGGGAAGTGAGGGGTCGGTCCGGGTTCCTCCTCCTCCTCCTCCTCCTCCTGGATGAGGATAAAAGTCAACTTGCTGCTTTCTTTTTTCCCCCTTTAGGATATAAAGTGGTGCTTCTGTTTTTATGATAATCATGATAATAGATGGTGTTATAATAAAGGCTGCGCGTCGAGGTGTCACATCTTTTACAGTGAAGAGATGAACTGACAGGCGCAGAGCCGCCCACCAGACAGAAAGCATTGTCTGTCTCCTGCACGTCTCTTTGATTTAACCATTTGTCGCAGAAAATGGCACTTTTGTCCCAGGAATGCCTGACTGCGGGAACAGAGACTGCCATGTTTGTTTCATACAGTATGCAATTATCACTTGTGTGTGTGTGTGTGTGTGTGTGTGTGTGTGTGTGTGTGTGTGTGAGACAGGGAGTCATTGCCTGCATTATTTTTTCCATCTGCATTTCCTCACAGAAGAGGTTATAATAATAATGTGCTGTTATTACTCGGCTCTCAGCCTGCAGCTTTTATTTCATCTGATTTGGGAGGCGATGAAGAATCAGGGTGTCAACATCTTTGAGACTTTTTGAAGCCACATTTTAAAAACACAACCTCTGTTATTTATTTTAATGGTATCAAATCAACACACAGAGGGAGCGCACTGTCTGAATAACACAAATCTTACAATACAGACAACATGTTTGAGCAATTTAGACATTTTGCAGAAGCAATTTAGACATTTTGCAGAAGCAATTTAGACATTTTGCAGGAGTTTACCTGCAATTTTTGTGAATTAAAAACACAAAGCGACCCGATGTTGTCCGCCTCAGAATTCTGTTTTTGTTGCTGCTGCATCGATTTTGATTACATTTTTACAAGTATTGTTGTTTTGGTTGTTGAAAAATGTTGATACTCTTTGACACGTGTTTTAAAAAGATATATTTTCCATTATTTGTCTGATCCATTAATTCCTAAAGTATCAAAGCTTAAATAAAAACAACATTTATCTGATGAGAAAACGAGTCAGAGACGAATGAATCCAGCAGTAATTGCAGTTAAACTCCTGAACACACAGTCACAGCTGCTTTGCACACATTGGTGACATTTTGCTCCACATAGCGTTGCCAATGTGTTTTTGCAATTCAGACATTTTGCAGAAGTTTGCCTGATATTTTTTGTGAATTAAAAACAAGAAAAGACCCGATATCGGCCGCCTCAGACTTCTGTTTTTGTTGCTGCTGTAGCGGCATTGTTAGGTTTTTATTCATATTGTCCCAAAAAGATAGAATTTCTAATGTTTTATTTTGACTAGAATTGTTTAAGGTTGTTCCAAAACTCCATTATTTATCCATACCACGCATTTTAAAACAATTCAATCTCCTATTTTATTTTTAAAATATTCAATATTAGAATATATATTGAATAGAATAGATATTTGAATTTCCTTCGGGATCAATAAAGTATCTATCTTTCTATTATCCAAAAGTACCAAAGCTATGAAAACATCTACATGATGAGAGAGGAGCACAGGAGAGGAAGGAATCCGACTGCATGCAAACTCCTGCAAAATATGTTGGCAACGTTCAGGTACCCAATTCAATCAATGAAACTTTATTTATAAAGCAACTTTCAGACAAATGAAATTGCAGTTCAAAGTGCTTTACGAGAGTGCAGAAAAGTTATTGTCAAAGTAGTTTATAAAATCATTGAGAGACTAATGCACACCAATAAGAATAAAATAAAAATATATATAAGTGCAGAAATCTGTGCAGTTGACTCAGTGTGCAGGAGAGTGTGCAGCTTGCAACTTTTGGAAACGAGAATTAAACAACATTGGGTGTCTGAATCTTCTTCATTTCTTGGTTGCTGTGAAGTTTTTGATTTTGGTTACTGTGCTGCACTGAATCATTGCCCATGTTGAGACGGCGTGCAGGAGTTTTCCTGAAATGATGATGCAGCTTCTGGTGTCCTGGGACTTCTTTTTGTTGTTGCTGTTGTCTAAAAACTGTTTGATTTTTACTTCGATCATATCTTTTTAAACTCCTGGGATCATGACAGCCCGACTTCAGAGTACATCCAGATCGATTTAAAGGCTGACGTTTTAGAAGCCTAGGAACTCAGATTTATCAGACTTCTTCCAGGTGATTCATAACCACGCTCACTAAAAGGTTTAATAACAATCTAATTAAAACACTTCTGTCTGTGATTTTCTTCAAGATGAGGAGGAGGGAACAGCAGATGAAGAGGATGAGGAGCAGGACGGTCTGAGCCCGGGGAAAACAGCGCCGTGCAGCGCGGACTCAGACAGCCCGTCTCCTGGGGACGATGCAAACACCAAGGGTGAGAGGAAAGATGTGCGAGTGCTGACCCCCCCGAGTGTTGACAAGGGATCGCATTTGTCACAGCACAAGTCTTTCTCGTAGCTGTCAGTGGGGGAAATAGTTAAAAAGAAGTGACCCGAGGGCGGTGATGAGGCGTGATGACAGACATCGGGGAGGGGGGGTCTCTGGGGAAAGGTAGACGGATGTGTTTAGGAGTTAATGAGCGCTCGTCTAACTGCTGGGTGAAGACAGGAGGGTAAGTGAGGGGAAACGTCCTCTGGGACATCTGTGACCACCTGCTGTCGAAAAAACTTTGGTGCTTCAGTTAGAAAGAAAACAAGGGAAGAATACATGAAGGAGGAAATCTGTGTTGTGGTGTAAGAGTTGCTTCATCCGACTCCTTGGTCTCGTTCTCAAGAACTTTAGGAAAAGCAGGTAAAGACCTTACTCACTGCTGTGTTACAAAGACCCAACGTCATGAGCTCAAAGCAACATTTAGCAAAGTTACAGCGGGTAAAAAAAACAACTTCCTGTCAGAGGCAGAAATCTGGAGCAGAGGCAGACTCATGAAGAACAGCTGTCTGCTGAAACTGATGATACAAAATGCAGCAGCACGACTGGTCTTCAACGTTCCTGAAAGAGCACATGTCACTCCTCTGTTCATCTCCTCACACTGGCTCCCAGTTACTGCTCACATCAAATTTAAAACTCTGCTGCTCGCTGACAAAACAGACAAAAATGTCTCCTCCTTACTTTAACTCTCTGATCCAGGTCTACACTCCCCCCCCCCCCTCCACTACGCTCAGCCAATGAAAGGCGTCTGATCCAACCTTCACAACAGGGTCCTAAGTCTCTGACTAGACTCTTCTCCTCTGTCGCCCCCCGGTGGTGGAATGAACTTCCAAACTCCCTCTGCACCTTTAAGAAAAAGCTAAAGACCCAGCTCTTTATGAATACCTACTAACTTAATGATGATGGTCTCCATATTATTGATGATGATGATGGTAATGACGATGGTTTTTGTTTGATAACGACGACTTATAAGATGGTTTCTATACTGATTAGAGCTCTCAAGAACTGCCCTCAATGTTGTGCTGTCAGCACCTGTGTGTCCAATCAGACTCAAAGCTGATCGTTTGCTCTTACTCACATTGTTCCCTTTTTTCTAGATCCTTGCTTGTGTTGTTCTTACTCTCTGATGTACGTCGCTTTGGAGAAAAGAGTCTGATAAGTGAATTGTAGAATTGTAGAAACTGAGCCGGGTTTGAAAAATGGGATTGAGGGAGATGCAGGAAGAAGGATAGGGATAGACGCGGGGGGACGGGGAGAGAGAGAGAGAGAGAGAGAGAGAGAGACCTGGTGAATTTCTCAAGAGTGATGTAATGGATGTTCCTAGTTTTTAACAGCACAAGTCTTCAACCAAAAGGTCGATCTCTGTAGGGATCCTTTGTGTAATGCTGTCAGGGAGAAGTACAAGAACTTAAAGTGGACGCACTTTAACAGATCGGTGATTACATCACAGCAATATGACTCCAAATGTGTATCTTTCAGTTATTAGGACTCCTACATGTACACATGGTGGGTTAGGGTTTGATTCAATGTTCTCCTGTCTTCTGTAGTCCACAACTTGAAGTGTGAGGTGTGCGGAGCTCGGTTCGAGACCAAGCGGGGACTGTCCATCCACGCCCGCTACCACCTGCGCCGGCTGGGCATCGGTGTTGCAGAGCACAGCGGAGCCGCCCTCACCCTCCTCCACCAGATCGCCAAAGAGCGAAACATCAGCCCGCTCCTCGTGGCGCATCCCGATCAACCGCCAAGAACTCCTCCCCGAGCGTTCCTCACAAAGATGAGCCGCTAGACGACATGGACGTGGACGAGAAACTCCTCCCCCTCTCCTTCCTGGCCAAAGCGGCGAAATCGGTGCCCCCTTCTTCCTCGTCCACGCCTACGCCTCCTCCGGGCGCCTCTCCGGCCCCGCCCCACTCTGGATCCCCTCCCTCGGTGGTGAGGAAAGCCCCCATTTCCTCTCTGCTGCCCGTGTCTTCCCCTTTACGCTCGCCGGAGCACAAGGCCGGGGGAATGAAAAGTTTGACCTCAAGCCTCTCGTCCTCCATCACAGCAACAAAGCCCCTGTGGGCCCCCCAGGAGGATGACGCTCCGCTCAACCTCAGTAAGTTTCTTTAACTGCATTTACTCTTTGGGCTGTAAAGATCAAGAGTCAGTTTTTAAGTCTTTCTATGTGATTTTTCACCCTTAAATATATAAATCAAGTATCTCCTCTGAAAATAACTCTGTGAGTCATGACTGTCTACAATGGGTGTAACACCCGAGTCCCACTGTCTGTGATGTTTTCAGAGTTTTCAGAGTCCTATCTTCACTTTGTTTACATCGCCAGGACGGCCGGCTGACTCCTCCCCTCGTGTATAAAAGTTGTTTAATTGAGGGACTAGAGAAAAGAAGAATAACATACTGTACTCACTGCTTAACTGTGTTTCTAGATCACGCTCATTTCAGGTAAATTTACATGCAGTGTGAAGATACCAGCAGAATAAAGATCGCTAGCATTAGCATGCTAACACAACAATGCAGCGTGAGTTGTTTTGGTTTCATGCTGGTACTCAAGGGCGACATCTGCTGGATCAAAAAATCACATATGAAGCTTTTAAAGAGAATGTGTGCTCAAACAGGTTGTTTGGAGACTTTCCCTTTGTGACATCACAAAGGGAAAGTCTCCCGCTGTTCCTGTGAGTCTCACTTTATGATTTTTCCTCATGCAGCTCTGGAGGTCGACCCAACAAAGGACATCGTGTGTCAGCTGTGCGGCGCCTGGTTCGAGACCCGCAAAGGTCTATCCAGCCACGCCCGAGCCCACCTGCGGCACTTCGGGGTGGAGTACTCGGAATCCAAGGGCTCCCCCATCGACCTCCTGCACCAGCTCATGGACAGCGACGACTTCAAGCACAAAGCCGGGACGCTGCAGCTCGACGACCACGCCGAGCCGCACGCCCTGGCCTCTGGCCCGAAGCACTCCTCCCTGCTGAACCTCTCCTCCTCCTCCTCCTCTTCATCCCTCCTGTATAAGGTGACCACGGCGAGGGGCGGGTCCACATCCAAAGCTACCTCTTCCTCTGCCTCGTCCTTACACGGCCCGCCTGCTAAGCGTCTCAAATCTTCCTCCATGAGGGTCTTCCGCCTGAGCAGCGGGGAGCTCATGGCCCTGCCACACAGTGAGTTCAGATCAACATGAAATAAGAATCATTGGCTGTAATTAGATTTGACCCTCCAGACCCCCGGCAGTTTGTCTGTTTGCTCTGTATTTATGTCTTCTGGTTTGTCGTTCAACATGTGAGGCTGTGAGGTCTGGAGCTCTACAGACAACTTTTTTCTAGCATGTGATGTACTCATTCTTCTTCACATATTATTTTCTTTAGATTCTTTAACCCTCAGGCATCAGTTTCATTTACGACCCTCTTACGTCACTAAGGACAAAAATGTCCACTTACAAAAAAAACTGCTATAAAATTAGAACAGATTGATATTTTTTTCTATTTTCTTCTGCATAAATCTCTTAAACAACTTCAGCCCTGCTCAAAACTATCAAACATTCAATCATTTTTTAGGAATTTAACCCTTTAAATGCCAGTTTGATTACATGATTCTGGCATTTAAAGGGTTAAATTCCTAAAAATGATTGAATGTTTGATAGTTTTGAGCAGGGCTGAAGTTGTTTAAGAGATTTATGCAGAAGAAAATAGAAAAAAATATCAATCTGTTCTAATTTTGTAAGTGGACATTTTTGTCCTTAATGACTTAAGAGGGTAGTAAACATGTTTCACAGTGTTCTATTGATCTATTAAAAAAATTAAAATGTGCATTCCAAAATTTGTCAAGAGAGAGTCTTTCTTACAAAAAATGGTGCCATATGCAGGAACAGACAAAATGATGACCAGATGAAGAGGAAACATTTGACCAAATGGACAAAAATGTCCATAGTGATGCATGAGGGTTAAAACAAGTTTAACAGAGGGAGAAATTAATGCATGATAATTCATCGGTCACCGAGGCTAATCGAGATAACGCTAAAAACTGTTGCTGTGGGGTCGGGGGAGCTGATAAAACACATTTACTTTTTACATTTTTCAACACTGACTGTATTTGACTTCCTGGTCTCTTAGGTGAACCTCCAAAGGAAATTGGCTGCGAGTTCTGCGGTGAATACTTCGAGAACCGTAAAGGCCTCTCCAGCCACGCCCGCTCCCACCTCCGTCAGATGGGCATCACCGAGTGGTCGGTGAACGGCTCGCCCATCGACACCCTGAGGGACATCATCACCAGACGGGGCCTGCCTTGCGCTCTTCCTCTAAAACCACATCTAAAGACTCCTCCACCATCCTCCCCCGGGGGGCCTCCTCCTCGCTCCCCTCTGTCAGCCTCCCCCTCCTCGGCCTCCCTCCTTGGTCGTCTCCCCTTCGCCTTTGCCCGCCCCTCCAGTCCTCCTCCCTCTGTTTCTAAATCCAGCTCGGCGTCCCCGGCCTCGTCCGGCGGGCTGATCCTGAAGCTGAAGCCGGAGCCGGTGCAGCTGGAGGTGACGGCGCCCGAAGCTGTGGGGAGATCTGCAGGTCTCCTCTCCGGTGAAGCTCTGGGCTGGAGCGGCTCTGACAGCGTGTTCCCCCTCAACCTGGGTAAGCCCAGCGCTACTTCTTTCAACCATTGGGTAATACGCAGAGGTGGGGGGGGGGGGCTTCACTACATCAGCTAATAGCATCATTTGCTCCGTCCCAAAGTCTAATTCTCAAAGCATACAGCACTAATGATGTCCAGAGAGTCGTCCTGCTCCGGGCAGTTTGCTCCTGTTTTGCATCTGAAAGTGCAGAGAAGTTGTCTGGCCCTTTAATCTGCACTGAGCTGCACTCTCATGCAGACAGAGATCAATGTTGTCCCCCTGAAGATGATGAGCAGGGAGGGGACTCTCTAAGAAACAGGTTTCCCTGTTTCCAGTGAGAAGAACGATTCAGCTCGACTGAATATCCATGAAAAGATTTCTGCGTTCAGGTACAGATAATCATTTCCTCTTCGATGTAGCTTCTCTCTCCTTGGCTGGACTTCGATCAAAAGGCAGCAGATGAAAATGGAAGTCTTGGCTGGCGGAGTTCTTTATTGCTCAGTACGGGGGGGGGGGGGGGGGGGGGGGACCCACCTGCAGCTTTGAGAAGTCAGCTGCTGCCTCCAGAGGGGGCGTCATAAAGAGAGAGAGAGAGAGCCAGTTAATGAAGAAGAGTACAAACATAACCACCTGTGAAGCAGCCAATAGCTCACTCTAGTTAATGAAACAGACGTGATAGAACATGTCAATTAGAGTGCTTATTGTTTCCATCTGTTTGCACTCTACAGCTAAGCTAAGCTAAGCTTCATGTTTAATGCACAGAAATGATTGGTGGTTTGGAAAAGACAGCGAACATATGTAAACATGTTCTGGAAGAAAACTTTCAGATTGATGATCTGAAAGTGTTTTGGGGGTGCATACTGCAGGTCATAGAAAAAGAAGTATTGAGTGGAAAGTTACTGGATGTGTGCACGTTTGCATTAAACCAGTTGTTCTTGTTGTCTCGAGAGAGAGAGAGAGAGAGAGAGAGAGAATATAATCATATTTTCTTGTCGCTGACTTTCTCTCTTTCTCTCTTTCTCTTTCTCTCTTTCTCTTTGTCTCTTTCTCTCTCTCTTTGTCTCTTTCTCTCTCTCTTTCTCTTTCTCTTTCTCTCTCTCTTTCTCTCTTTCTTTCTCTCTTTCTCTTTGTCTCTTTCTCTCTCTCTTTCTCTCTTTCTCTTTCTCTCTCTTTCTCTCTTTCTCTTTGTCTCTTTCTCTCTCTCTTTCTCTCTTTCTCTCTCTCTCTCTCTCTTTCTCTCCGTCTCAGCCATGTCCAACGACGTGGAGCCCACGCGGGACATCCGCTGCGAGTTCTGCGGAGAATACTTTGAGAACCGTAAAGGCCTCTCCAGCCACGCCCGCTCCCACCTCCGTCAGATGGGCATCACTGAGTGGTCGGTGAACGGCTCGCCCATCGACACCCTGAGGGAGGTCATGCACAAGCGAGGGGCCGGCCCCTCCCCCCTCTCAGACCACCGGGTGAAGAAGGAGGCGAGCCATGGGGCGAGCAGTCCTCTGTGGGAGAGCGCGGCGAG